GGACTCGATCCCGGGACTCCAGGATCATGACCTGAGCCGAAGGCAGTCGCTTAACCAACTGAGCCACCCAGGCGCCCAAGAAAATTATCATGACAGGCGAAGAGGGATATGAAACCATTCTCATAATACGATTTCAATTTTAGACGCTCCAGATAAATATCTACGGAACTCCATAATAAAAGATTAGACGGAAATACTCCAAATATTACTTGTGTTTTTGTCCCAGTAGTGAGATTCTTTATTCATTTTCAGCATTTTTCAAATTCTATATACCTATACATATACAATGAGTGTGTATTAATTCTACAAATAAAATATAAAACAGTTTCACAATTTCAATTTCAATTTCGCAATTAAAAAAAATTGCATGAGGTTCTAGACTAGGCCAGTGGCAGAGGAGAGAAAAGATAATCATGAGGCTGAGTCCTCAGTATTTGGTGACCCATGAGGGTCACCAAGGGGACAGAGAGAATATCCCAGAACAGCTCTAAACTTTCTAGCTTGAGCAACAGCATGGATAAATAATGGTGTTTTGCATCACAAGAGGAAATGTAGAGAGAAAGGAAGAAGAATGGGTTGGGAAGAAAGAAAATAAATTCGGTTTGGCCTCACTGGGTTTGCAGTACCGAAAGGATCCCCTGGTAAGAGGTGCTCAGTCAAGAGCTGGCTACATGTGGGGCTAAAGTCTGGGAAAGATTTTGGTATACATGTGGGTATGGGCGATAGCCATGTGTCGTTGATGCCATGGCTTGGCTGAGGATGCAGCCGCATTCTGTGTTCTGTAAAGGGCAATCAGACTCTGTCCCCATGGAGGCTCAGACACTCGGGCTCTGGAGCTCTATTCCTTCCTGCCACCCAAAATGTGACCTGAAGTGACCCCTGCCTCCCTCAGTCAGTCACAGAGACTACTGCTGGATTACAGTGAAGAGCCTCCCAGAGATCCCCTGTGACTTACATGCTGTTTGGCACTGTGGCTGCCGCTTCCACTGAGGATGACAGAGCACTCAGAGTCAACCACATAAAACTTGCTACTGCATATTTTGTAGGAATGGCGTTCAAGACAGTGGCCACTGCCTCACCCAGTGACCTCTTTTTACAATAACATATAGGGAAACCGTCTCAGGCTTCAGCACCGGGAAAGTGTGAGCAACTGGACACCATGAATCCTATAACTGTTCCTGTTTCCCTCTCTGGTTTGGCCAATAAGAAGCTCAGACTAAAAGCTGTGGCCCATCTTCAGCAACATTAGATGATCACGTCGTGCGCATTCTAGAGCACTAATCTGTTAGCATTTCGGTCTTTGTTGTTTTACTTATTTTCTCTTTGTCCTAATTTCTTCCACTATGAATCTTTGTGAACTTCTTTAAGTCTAAGATTTTCTTCAGTGTCACACCCACCCATTGATTCCGTCTCTATCTCCTGGATTTGCACAAGAGAATTCTAGGCCCTCTTCCCCATAGCAGCCCCTTTGAGGCTCATGTCCTCCACTAAATCTGATTCTTTTTAGGTACTAGAGCCTCACGTTCTTCAACAGTTTGTCCTAGACGTGAGCTCCTCAAGAATCTTTATCCTTCTAGACTCAACTGATGCCCCATCTTCCCTTGGCGTCTTCTCTAAGCCCTTTTCAGGGTGTCCCTCCACGGCAGCACTGACAGCAACCACACATGAGGACTGGTTCTCATACTTGCCTCTCCCACCGGACTGGGGACCCCTGAAAAACAGAGGTCGTGCCCTATGTGCCTCCAAATATTACCTAGCCAGGGCCCAAGGCATAATATAATAATATATGCTTCATAAGTTTTTGTGGAGGAAATAGATGAGTGAATATAAATTCATATATATACATAACTTCCTCGCTCCTCTACATGCTAAAAGAAAGCCAAGCCCCCAGGAAGAACAGGGAGAGCCCAGTTCCATTCAGCTGTTTGTGGGCCTTTCTATCTGACAACCGCTTTTCCACAGGACTCTCCTGAACAGACTTGGCCCTAGGCACCGGCGTAAGAGCTTATTCTCCCAGCTAAATCCAGAGTGAATACACATGAGACAGAATTGGTCCTGTGAGGGCAACTGGGATAAATTTTCACAGAAAAAAAGGATTTCACAGATCAAAAATGCAAGATGCCACTCCAACTCGTACTTACTTTAACACAACCTTATGTGGGTGCTAATTATATGTCAGGCATTGTTCTAAGCTCTTTACAAATATCTTATTTAATCTTTGTAACAACTTCATGAGATAGGTACTATTTCTTTTTTTTTTTAAGATTTTATTTATTTATTTGAGAGAGAGAGTGAGAGAGAGAAAGAGCACAAGAGGGGGGAGCGGGAGAGGGAGAAGCAGACTCCCTGCTGAGCAGGGAGCCCAATGCGGGACTCGATCCCAGGACTCCAGGATCATGACCTGAGCCGAAGGCAGTCACTTAACCAACTGAGCCACCCAGGCGCCCGAGATAGGTACTATTTCTATCCCCATCTTGTTTTCATATATAGTCTTCTCAAGCATTGGAGTCCACTATCCTACAACGAAGGAAGATGTAGCTATTCCGTCACTAAATTAAAGAAAGTTAGTTACATTTCGTTCACGCCAATGCATGAATGGTTGACAAATCAGATCTTCGCGTTTGATGTGAGACCAGGATGCCACAGAATACATCATTCACTAAGCATTCATAGAGCGCCTACCAGCACAGACCTCCATGAGCTCAGAGCCTGATGGAGAAAACAGTACACACCTAAACAAATAAATTACCAGACCCCATGACAAGCACATTAGAAGCAAGGACCCAACACAGCGCTGGCGGCGAGAGGAAGTAATGATCTCTGGCTAGATGAGAAGGCTTCCTCCAGGGTGTAATGTCTGAGTTCCTTTTTAATGGATGGTCCAGGGCGCACCAGGAAGCCACAGCAACAGAGGTGGGAGTGAGAGGGCCAAGGTAGGGGGAACCGTTGGCCATGGGTAGCAGGTGGGGGTGAGCTGGGGAATGAGAGGTTATCACTGGGGTGGTGACCTTGGCTGTGACACCACGAAGCTCAAAGTCACTAAAGGATCTGATAGTCATTCCCGTTCTAGGAAGTATCTTTGAGCTGCAGCATGGGGGAGGATGTCAAGACCAGAGAGAGAGAGAGAGAGATGTGTTAGGGGGCTGTTGAAATCAACCAAGCAAGACGCAGTATGCACCTGAGCTGGGACACTGGATTCTAGGGATATTTGGGAACCTGAAGCTTCAGACTGATTGGAAGGCTGGTATAGGAGTGCAAGGTGACAGCCCAGCTTCTACTTAGAAGACCAGGAAGCTGGTGGGGCAGCAAAATGGGGAACGTGAGCTGAGAGCCCCCTGGCAGGGATGAGGACAATCTTGGGCAGCCTCTAAGCTTGGGAAAGCCACACTGGGCAACAGACATTTTCTTAATAATCACAGAGCAGTTATTCAGATTCTCACTCACATCTCCTTTTAATAAAATATGATGCATTTCACTCTGTCATCTTAGTGAAAAATCATTGCCCTTTGCAATGATTTTTCAAATTAATAACCTTTGGGTAGGAAAATTGGTTTCATTAATACCTCCCCTTGCACTTTGTAGGTTCATCATCTCTCCATCCTGCTGTCCCCTGAAACCAAAAGCCCAAGACTTATTGTTTGAGAAGCCTGAATGACTTTATGCTCAGAATGAATGATCGGGATCCTTCATAATTAGGCTCAATTGAGGTCACTGCCCCAAAATGCTGGTATGCCCCTCAATCCCCAGAGAGCCCACCCTGGGCTAGAAGGGATGATGAAGGCATCCTCCCCCAGCTCTTGGCCTGATCTCTAATCTTGGCACAAAAGTGGTCACCCACCTTGGTGCCCCAACCCTGAGAACAGAGCACCTCCCTGGGTTTCGCACAGCCCCTGAGCAGAGGTGTCTGTCTTTGGCCAGGAGCATGGCTGACCTGGCAGAGTTGCGTGATTGCTCATCACCACTCCAAAATGACTCAAGACCAGGAGCAGCCTCCCCCAAAAGAAAGACTAGAAGGCATTTTGAGAAAACAACTGAAGGTAAAAGCTTAAAAACGATCTTTCTCTCCCCTACCCCATTCTCCTACAGTCTTTGAAAGATTCTGAATGGATACTCATTTATCCTTTCCTGCTGAAAAATGCCTTAGCAGCAAACTTATCATCTCAGGCATAAAGTCCAGACTCCCAACATCCTGGGGCCCCTGACACTCTGGCTGCCCAGGCTTGTCTCTTTCCTCCTCGTGCCCACAAGGTGCCACCCTCTGAGCCCTAACTCTTCTGTTCCCCCAGCTCAGAAAGCCCTGCTCCCTCCCACCACCCACACAGCCCCACACACAAGCCCCTGTCTATCCTTCCAGGCAGGATCAGCATCATTTTTTCTGAAAAGTCCTCCTCCCAGTGTCACTCCCTGCATCAAACAGAATCAGCCACGCCTTTGAGATCCTTTCTGCCCGAACCCTACCTGGTCCAGGCAAGGCTACATGGCATAACGTGTCTGCAAGTGACAATGGGCGGAACTACATGGGCAAATGCATAGTGTCATCTAACTAACGTGCTCTATTCACTATCTCTGCAGTATAGGGATGTAGGCAATTGGAATCAGAGGGAGCTGGGTTCAAATCCTGATGCCACTGCTTATTGGCAGTGTGACTCAGGGTGAAATACTCATCTTATACAACTGCCTCTTCCATATCCCTATTGTCCACGAGGTACTTCCATATCTGACTGGCTGAGCCCATAGTCAGGATGGCAGGATGGAGGATCTGGCTCCCTCTACCTCTGTGTTGGGTTCTCGTAGGTCAGCCTTCATCATCTCCCAGAGGAGAAATGGCTATTCTGCTGGACATGCCCTCTTGGGTTCCCCAAAGCTGCGGTTCATGCCTACCTCCAGTACCTCTCAGTAACCCTGCTGGCTGGTGCTCTTAGGAAACTTTGGGCTGTCCCAGAGCCGGCAGAGGTGGGACAGTCGCCAGGGTAAGCACTGTCTCCAATCTTGCATTCCAGAGCCAGTTGGAAGAAGATCGAGAGCTGTTGAAACAAAGGAAGCATTGCAGGAGACAGAGACCAGATTTCTGCTTTTTGAAGAAGAAACGGATAAGGGCTGTCAGATTCGGCTGAATCACCCAGACACGTTACAGCGGTGCAGCTTCAACTCCTCTCTGCCCCTGGTGATGATAATCCACGGGTGGTCGGTAGGAAATGCTGATGTGCCTTTTCTCTCTCTGCATTTACATTTTCTGCTTTTCTCCCTCGTGTGTCCAATTTTCATAAAAAAGATAGGGAGCCAGTGATAACACCTCTGTGCATAATATTTGCAAAGCAGATTCTAATTTTCCGAGTACTTCCCCACACAGGATCTCATTGATTATGTCAATCCCATGAATAAGCAGGATAGGGAAAGTATAATTACCTCCACGTTTCAGATAATAAAATGTGGTTCAAGGAGGTCTCACAGCACATGAGGGCCCCAGAAGTGATTGCGGTCCATGTGGGTGAATCTGCCTGTTTCACAAGAGATAGGAAGCTAAAAGACATAGCCTCCCGATGTTGTAACTATAAGGTTTAAATGCAGCTGCAAATAACAGAAACCCAACTGACAGTAGTTCAAATAAAACAGAAGTTTGTTTCCATTTCACACGATAGTCTAGAGATATGTAATCCAAAACTGGATAAATGACTTTGTCAATGAAGTCCTCAGGGACCCAGCTCATTTCCAGCTTACTACTCTGCCATTCTTAAAGTGTAGCCTTTGTCCTTATAGTCCAAGATGGTAGCCAGAACACCGGCCATCTCATCTTTATTCCAGGTAACACAATTAGTAAAGGGTGTACACAAAGGAGTCAAAGGGCATGGGTTTTTTTAAACAGCTTTACTGAGATATAATGCACATACCATACAATCCATCCATTTAAAGTGTACAGTTCAATGGCCTTTGGTATAAAAGAGTGGGGTTTTTTTAGGTTAGCTACCCAGAAGCATCTGTAAAATGCTTCCAGTTACATCCATTGGCCATATCTAGGTAGAAAGGTGACTGAGATATGTAGCCTCTTAGAGAAAGTGTAGCCTTTTAGGGATGCTAAAAATCCTGGACAAAGGGGAGAAAGAATATTGTGGGCAATGGTTGAAATCAAACTAAGCAAGGATTTGTCTCCAAGAGGAAATTCTGCTTCCCTGGTTCCCAACCAATCCACGATTTGAAGCTTAGTTCACAACTTGAAACCTCCAGAGATTTGGGGATCTATTTCGTGACTTGGAAACTTTTCCCTGCCATCTTTGAAAATACTCTTGAAAGCCTCACCTATCCTACCGTAGAAAGCAAAATGAGCCCGTCTACCCACCCGCCACTCTTTCAACATTTAGTCACTGAGAGCCTGCTTTGTGCAGGCTCGTAGCCTTCCCATGAACAATACAGACCCCGTGCCATGTGTCATGTGGTAGTGGGGAGCCACAGCATGCCACGGGAGTGTAGCCACGAAGTGGGGTGCTTGCCACTGCTAGAGGGGGAAAGCAGAGGCACCAACAGCCTGCTAGGAGCTTTCCTCTAGGACTTAAAGGGCTCCCACCCTAAGGAAGAGGGGGTTCCACACACCCCAGGGTCGGCAGTGAAGGTGGTGTTGGGCTTTCCTGCCCCTAAAGAAGGGACCTAACATAGATTGAGCCCCTCCTACAAGTTAGGCCCTTTACATTATACATCAACCCGTTTAATCCCCACGCCTCCCTCCGAGGCGTGTTAGCATCTCTTAGAAGAAGAAACTGCGCTCAGAAAGGTCGGCTACCTTAGCTACCATAGTCACACAGCCAAGAGTGGACAAAGATTCAAACGCAGAACCCCCACGCGCCAAGCTCACACTCTCAAAGCCTCCCTTTGTCAGAGGGGTCCGACAGGCCCCCCATTCCTAGCAGGCTTCACCCCACAACCACCACTGTGTCTCTCTCCCCCTGGGGTAGAAGCTCGCTCAATCCATGTTTCTGTAAGAAAAACAGAATAGGAGACAGAGGGCAGAACGCTAAGAAGGTGAAACCTGTTTTAAAGGAAACTAAAGATCAGCCACAGAAAGCTCTCCTGTGGGAGCCCTGGGGGAGGATGGGGATGAGAAGGAGGCCAGTGGCGGTAGAGAAGAGTATCCCGTTTCTTCAGCTCCTTTAGCCAAACGGACTTTCCTTACAAGAAAAAAGAGAAAAGGTGGGAAGGAGGGAATGTATCCAGAGGACAGATCTGGGGACGGGCAGAGTTCGAAGCTGGGGCCACCAAGTCAGAAAGGCTGCACACAGCAGAGCTGGTGATTCTTTCCCGTGCTCTCCCCCTCGGACCCTGCCCTCCTCACCCTCCCTGCCTCCACTGACTCCCCCTGCCTCAATTCACTCCTTGTGCTCCCCTCACCTTCCCTGTCTCCTCCTCACCCTCCCTACCTCCCTCCACTCCCCTTGCCCCCTTCACCTTGCCCTGCCTTGCCCTCGCCCTCCCTGCCTCCTCTGACTCTCCCTGCTTCCCCCTTACCTCTCCCTGCCCCCACTTAAACTCCAGCAGCCCCCAACTGCTTTTAGCTCCTTCCCCTCCCCTGTGCTTTCTCTCCTCTTGGCCCTGGCTCAGCCTGCACCTTCTGCCTAGAGTGTTCTTCTCCCTCTTCTGCCGATCAGTATCCATTACATAGTAGGTGCTCAATAAATATTTGTTAACTGAATTCATGACTAAACAAATATCTTGCTCACAAATGCAACGTGAAGATAAAACCATTACCAGGGTCCTGTCCCAGAATGAACTCTTCTTAAAATGCAGAGGGGACTAGAACTACTATCACTAGTGATAGGAACAGTGGGTCAGTGACTCGGAAGGTAACTGTGCGTAACTAACATTTACCAAGAGCGTGCTGCATTCTAGGCGCTGTTCTAAGGGCTTCACAGTGATTGATCTCTTCACAGCAGTTCTGGAGAAAGGCCACTAGGCTCGCCCCATTTTCCAAATGGGGAAAGTCGTGCACAGAAAAGTTAACCAGATCGCTAATTAACTGGGAGAGTCGGGATTTGAACCCAAGGTGCTCTATCTACATGGAAGGCACTGGGTGCACATTCATAAGTGGTTGCACCTGACCCCGAATGACCTGCCCCGTCAGCAGCATTGTTCTCCAGCCTGGCCTCCCGCCAGCTGGTCTTCAGACACACCAGACTCTTCTCCCTCCAAACATACCCCGGGGCCCTCTCATGATCATGCACCTCTGCTCGTGCTCTTCCTTCTGCCTGGACCATCCTAGACACCCTGCCCCACGGTCACCAGCCCACACTTATTCTCATAAGTGAACTCCTATTTATCCTTGCAGACACCAATATCTTCGTTCCATGAGCCCATCAGGAGTGCCCTCCCACCCCACCCCCCACTCCAGCAGGTGGGAGGGATGGGGTGGCTGGGTGATAGACACCAGGGAGGGTATGTGCTATGGTGAGTGCTGTGAATTGTGCAAGACTGTTGAATCACACATCTGTACCTCTGAAACAAATAATGCAATATATGTTAAGAAAAAAAATGAAAGAAAAAGATAGCAGGAGGGGAAGAATGAAGGGGGCGGAAATCGGAGGGGTAGACAAACCATGAGAGACGATGGACTCTGAGAAACAGAGGGCTCTAGAGGGGAGGGGGGTGGGAGGATGGGTTAGCCTGGTGATGGGTATTAAAGAGGGCACGTTCTGCATGGAGCACTAGGTGTATACACAAACAATGAATCATGGAACACTACATCGAAAACTAATGATGGAGATTAACATAACAATAAAAATTTTAAAAAAAATGAGTGGCCTGCAAGTTGGTTCTCAAACAAAGCACATACACGGAAAGGTTCTCCATAAACATCTTTTGAGCTCCTGCCATGTTCCAACTCATGGTGTTTTATTCCCTCAAAAGTGAGCAGACGCAGTGGGCAGGAAGAGAGCAAAGGAGCTGGGATTCAGAGCTGTGATTGAACAGGGGAGCGGGGAGGTATTAGAGCTGACCCTCAAAGGATAGGTCAGCTTTCAGCTCCTGATTACATAGACTTTTCCATTATTTTAAGGTTCAGAAACTCTTAAAATAGGGGCATGTTAAGAGAATGGTTCTCTCAGGTTCCTTGCTCAGCGGGAAGCCTGCTTCTCCCTCTCCCACTCACCCTGCCTGTGTTCCCTCTCTCGCTGTCTCTCTGTGTGTCAAATAAATAAATAAAATCCTTAAAAAAAGAGAGAATGAGAGAGAATGGTTCTCAGTTGGAAGCCAGGGGTAGCCCGCAGGGGACATTTGGCCAAGCCCAGGGACATTTTTGGTTTTCACAACTTGTGGGGGAGCCCGCTGCTGGCATCAGCTTGGTAGAGACCAGAGATGCTGCTAGATACCCTACAATGCACAGGACAGCCCCCACAACAGAAAGTATCTGGCCCAAAATGTCCATAGTGCCAAGGTCGAGAAACCCTACATAAAGCCCCTTCTTTTGGAAAGAAGGATCCAGCCTTAATTAGCCAAGAGTTGGGAAAGAAAAAAAAAAAAGGTGAATGGGGGAAAGAAGAGACTAGTTCAGTGCCCCACCTCCGTGTCCCCTCCCGGTTAAGCTGGCGACTTTGTGGGCCCACCCGCAGGTGGACGGCTTCCTGGAAAACTGGATCTGGCAGATGGTTGCCGCCCTGAAGTCTGGGCTGGCCCAGCCCGTGAACGTGGGGCTGGCCGACTGGCTCACCCTGGCCTACCACCACTACACCATCGCTGTCCGCAACACCCGCCTTGTGGGCCAGGAGGTGGCGGCTCTCATCCAGTGGCTGGAGGTAAGGCCCGCCCCGCCCTCCCCTCCCCTCCCCTCCCCTCCCCTCCCCTCCCCTCCTCGCCCTTCTGAGACTGAGTGCATTAAGCTGGTCTCCTAAGCAGCCCAGACAGGAGAACCACTCTACTAAGCTCATAGGAATGGGAGGGCACAGGGTGGAGACGAGACATTGGGGCTCCCTCAGATGCCTTGCTTGAACCCCTATTTGGCAGAACTATCTTCCCTCCCCCTCCGCCATCCACTATCTCTTTTACGCTCACTCCCTTGGATGTGCTAAGGGATCTAAGCACACCCGGATACCATCAAACCCCACAGAAATGGACAGCAGCCCTGGGCAGGGCGTGCAGGTCCCAGTAAAGGCCGGCAGGCAGGGGCCAGCATCCCCAAGGGGCGGTCCCAGGTAGCTGAGCTTGAAAGGTGGGCGCCAGCAAGGTGAGAGACCAGTTTGGGTCAGGAGGCTGAATTAAGCACCTCATTTACCACCTGGGACAAAGAACAAGGGGGGAGCCCAGAACGAGCTGGACCCACACAAGGTTTCTGTCTGGGAGCCCTCCGCCGTAACCATCTTGCCTCTGTCTTCCAGGAATCTGCTCAGTTTTCTCGAAGCAATGTTCATCTAATTGGGTACAGCCTGGGTGCCCATGTCTCTGGATTCGCGGGCAGTTACATGGGCGGAAAGCACAAGATTGGGAGAATCACAGGTAACCGTGCTGATAACCAATGACCTCGCGGGGGTGCGGAGCAGGATCCGCTTCTACAACAGGCCCGGAACTACCATGCCCCCAGCCTCCTTCACCCTGTTTTAAGCATGACCACTGTCCTAGACGGCTGTCTCTCAAGAATTCAGAGTAAATCACAGCCCCAACTCCTATTGCCTTTCCTCCAGTGGGTGCCTCTCATAGTCATGCCAGATAGGACCTGAAAAGTAGACTTTCCATACACTTTTTACCAGGAAAGAGTTTATTTTTCAACCTATAGTTTAAAAAGCCCAATATGAGCAAGTTAAAGGATCACAGCCCGAAATTTGTGATAACATCGGCCACGTTTGTGCCTCAGTTTCCACATTTGTGAAACACATGGGTCTTACTGTGGGACCCATTTGAATTGAGGGAGGGGGCACCACACTGACTTGGAAACGGTTCCAGATATTCAGGGAGAGCTGGGGATGTGCAAGAAGGCCTTTCCTCCCAGGCCTCCTTGACACCAACCTCATCCCCCAACGCTACCCCCCAGTCCTGTTTGGAAGAACACATCTGATCGGATTGTGCCCCAGCCAAGTCCCCAAGACCCACAGATATCCACAGGATAAAACTCAGAAAGCCCAGGGGCGCCTGGGTGGCACAGTCGGTTAAGCATCCAACTCTTGGTTTTGGCTCAGGTTGTGATCTCAGGGTCATGAGATCGGGCCCCACATCAGGCTCCATGCTCATTTCAGAGTCTGCTTAAGACTTTCTCTCCCTCTCCCTCTGCCCCCTCCCCCTGGTGCTTGCACACATGCTTTCTCTCTCTCTCTCTAAAAATAAATATATTTAAAAAGAAAGAAAGAAAGAAAGAAAGCCAGACAAGGCCCTTCTCAGTTTAGTGTTCCAGAATTCTGTGACCTCTCCTCCTTCTGCCCTCCTCCTGTAGTCCCAGGCTTCCATGACACTAGGTCTTTCTCTACTTAACAAACACACCATGGCCTCCTGTGTTTCTGGGACTTTGCAGGTCCTTTTCCCTTTGCCTGAAATATCTTTTTTTTTTTTTTTTAAGACTTTATCCATCTATTTGAGACAGAAAGAGAGCACGAGAGGGGGAAGAGGGAGAGGGAGAAACAGGCTCCCCGCTGAGTGGGGAGCCCAACGCAAGGCTCGATCCCAGAACCCTGAGATCATGACCTGAGCCAAAGTCAGACACTCAACCGACTGAGCCATCCCGACGCCCCCTGCCTGGAATATCTTACCACGACTTATCCACCCAGCCCCAGTCTACCTACCAAACTCCTACTCATCCTTTAGAAACCCAGCAGGCTAAAACAATACTTCACAGGCTAAAACAGTTCAAAGGAAATTCAAGATGAATAGCATTGTTGTGACCTTTCATTTTTTTTAAAAAGATTTATTTATTTATTTATTTTAGAAAGAGACAGAGAGAGTGGGGAGAGGGGCAGAGGGAGAGAGAGAATCTCAAGCAGACTCCCCACTGAGCGTGGAGCCCAACTCGGCGCTCGATCCCACAACCCATGAGATCATGACCTGAGCCAAAACCAAGAGTAGGATGCTCAACCACCTGAGCCACCCAGGCGCCCCATGACCCCATTTTATCAAGTAAGAACATTTTTGACAGCTAATATCTACTATTACCATTACTTCACCAAAGAAGAGGTCGGTTTTAATGTAAAAAAAGATAGAAATAATGGCAGACATTTAAACGAAATAAATTTGTCATTATGAGAACTCCCTTCCTCATCCTTACTTTTTTGAGCTTGCCGGTAACTGGGGAGACCTGGTTGGCAGGCCAGTATTTGTGCCTCCAGCTCTGTGATTTAACCCTCACTAGGCTGGGGGTGAGCAGACCTTCACAGAAGGCCAATGAGGCCCATCGCCAAGGAACCAGGCCTAGAAGGCTGAGTCAGAATCACAGAGAGGCGGCACCAGGCCCAGCACCGTCTCCACTCTGGCGGGTGTCATGGGCCACATCAGGCATTATTAGCCAGGCCCACTCATGACAGAGGCAGCGGGACAGCTAATTACCCCTGTCCTCTCATACTCAGCCCCATGAAGAACGGACTATAAATCACACCAAGACATCTTTCATTTGTGACTATGGATGAGAGCTGGAGACAGGCGCTCTCACTGCCCCCTGTCAGTTCCTTCACCCGCAACAGGGATAGAAGCCAGGGCTGATGTGGGACATCAAAGGGTCTTCCAGAGAAGGTAAGGAAGAAAGACAGAGGAAAAACCTTGAGCGCATAAATACTCCCCAACGACAGTCAGCCAGGAGCTGCGACTAGTCTCACGCACACACATCTGTCACTTGACCAGAGCTTTGAGCAGTCCTATTTGCTCACAACATTTTCACCCGGAACAGTCATGCCCCGAGGCTGTTCTGGACATTCTAATGAAATGACATTGGTGTGGGAGAAAAGCCAGCTTGTTTAGGGAAATTATTGACAACATACAGGCAAATAAAATCTTTCTCTGATGGGTAGGTTAGAACTACTTACAATTATAAGCACAGTGGTTTTTTGTAGGCAAACAGATGCTCTTGAAAGGAGCTTGAGAGGTACTTAAAATTGATTTGCTTAAATAAATCAAGCATTCCCTCCTAACCTTATTTCTACCACTGGGTAGTTCCTGCAGACCTCTTCCCCATAGATAATGCGCGGCCCGTGTCTAATTTTCGGCACCATGAATTACTGTGGTTTTACTGCGAAAAGGTTATAGCAAGATTTTCTAGAGAAAGATCATCCCCTAGGATTTTCTTCTTCCTGCTAGCTCATGAATGTGTAATAACATCAGAAAGCTTAAAGAAGCATTCTCCCTTCTTCCCCTTGTCCCCACCTAACCCTTACCCTTGCTCTCCTGTTAGGGCTGGATGCCGCCGGCCCTTTGTTCGAAGGATCTTTGCCCAGGGACCGTCTTTCACCAGACGATGCCAATTTCGTGGATGCCATTCACACCTTCACCCGGGAGCACATGGGCCTGAGCGTGGGCATCAAACAGTCCATAGCACACTATGACTTCTACCCCAACGGGGGCTACTTCCAGCCTGGCTGCCACTTCCTAGAGCTCTACAAACATATTACCAAGCACGGCTTAAATGGTGAGAAAGAAGGCGTGGGGAAAAGCACTAGCCTGCCCTGGCTTATACCCCTCATACTTGCACACAGCCCCCAGATCCAGTACTCTGGGAAGGGGTCGGGAACCCAGGGTATATGGTCACCAAGCGCACTCAGAGGGAGAGTGGGTAAGGGCTAGGGTCCCTCCAGCAGACCCTCCTCTTAACTGACAATGAGCTGGGGGAGCCACCAGGAATCCCCACTTCTTCGCCTCTCCCAGGATACCCAACAAAGTCTCTCCAGGGATACTAGCAATTCTGAAAGTGGAGTCCTGATGCCTGTGGTCATTCCTCCTTCTCCAGAAGTTTCCTCACCCAGGGGGCTTCCTCTATTCTGGGCCACATGAGGATGCACTTAATAGATCCTTGCTCTTTAGCATCTCGATCTCTGGTCTGACTAGAGCAGGAGTAACTCTTCCACTCCTGGGAGCTGTAATCAGCTGGTCCTGCAGGACCTTACTGGGATTCTTCCAATTCAAAATTCAGTTCTAAACATGTCTTTGTCGCTTCCTTTATCTCAGGGCAGAAACTGGATTGTGGCATTATCTGGGTTGTGATCCCACTTCTCTCTCAAATCCTAGACTAAAATATTGACATGCACGTTGACAACACGCACAGGATTAAAGAACAAGCCTGTCAGCAAAAAGCATACATTCCATGGATGTTCCAAATCTCTCATTATTATAAAACATCATCCTGATGAAAACATGCCAACTGACGCTAAGCCAATTGGAGCCTGTCTCCTCCCCCACCCCATGTACCTCCTTCTCACCTCCATCATCCAAAACCCAGCTGAGAACCCAGTCTCTTGTGATTACATCACCGCCTTCACCTCTCCAGTATCAGAATGACCTTCACACTCAACATTATCTCATTTTGGCTGGACTCCCAGCCTTCCACCTGCCCACGCCTGAGAGAACCTTCTGGGAACTTCCCCTCGTCATTCCTCACATGCCCCTCACATCATTGCCCCACCAGTCATCCATGGGGGCCTGCTCCATTCCCGGCTGACCAACCAGCCCTCCTCCCAGACCCACTCCCTCCCAAAGCTCAATACAGGCCTGGTATTGAGTAACTAGTTGCCTGATAAATACATCTCTGTTAGTACCATTTGCTCTTTTGTGCAAACCTTCAAAGTGGTGGAACGATGTACACTTATTTTGCTTGCCCAATTTTGGTGTGGTTTTTCTTGGTTTTCTTCACCTTTAAGTTTAAAAGTGATCCCATCCTGGGGTGGTTCTCGCAAAGCATCTGAACAGAAGGTAATTTGGTAACTGCTTTGCCACCCCAACCCCTCCCGGCTAGGTGAGCTGGAATGCCTTTGAAGCTCAGTCTTCTCGTCTGGAACAGCTGCCTGAAGGGGCTGTGGTGAGATTCAGGAACTGGATGACGGAAAGCACTCAGCATAGTACCTGCCTCATAGTAGGTGCTCAAAAAATGCAGCACTAGACCAAGAGCCAGGTGTCCCGTCTGGGCATTTAGCCTTCAGACACTGGGAGAAATAGCTTTTGGCAAAGCTACCTGTGCTGTACCTTCACATTAGGTACTTTACATACCTTGTGGTGGTTCTTCCACACCCTTGAGAATAATTTATTCAAGATTAAATTAAGTGATTAATTAATTTTTAATTAATTAATTAATTAATGGAGAGTTTTTTTAAAAGGTCAAAAACTCATGGTAAATAAACTTCCTAACCTTGCTGTTTGGGCCCATGTAGACCTGTTCATTTGGATGCATCCTTCTAGAAGCCAATCCCCTTGCTGGTTTTACAGACCAGTTACCCAGTGGAGGCAATGGCTGCTTTAGGACAGAGGGCAGACATTGTGGGAGAGGACTCAGCTTTCACCAGGCCGTTTAGCCGAGCCCCAACAGTACCTTGGTTTTCATTTGCCTAGCGTGGTTAAGAAAAGAGGCATCCCACACGAGCCAGCTACCTCAACCCAAGCCATGAGCACTTGCACATCTGTAGCCATTTAAGACATAAATTTTTTTTTAAAGATTTTATTTATTTATTTGACAGAGAGAGAGATAGCGAGAGCAGGAACAGAAGCAGGGAGAGTGGGAGAGGGAGAAGCAGGCTTCCCGCGGAGCAGGGAGCCCGATGCGGGGCTCGATCCCAGGACCCTGGGATCATGACCTGAGCCGAAGGCAGACGCTTAACGACTGAGCCAGTCAGGTGCCCCAAGACATAAATATTTTTTAAATAAATCACACTACCCTGTGTTCTTAAATAATTCAGTATTTTCTTAGGGACTTAGGCTTCCGGTTAAAACACCAGGGCACCCTCAGGAGCCCCAGAGTGCCTGGGGTGACGCCTCTCCACCTCGTGACTGAGAGGGGCCTGCTCCTGGAGTTGTCAGTCACGGATTCCGTCCCAGTGTCGCCAGTGGGCCAGCCTCAGCAACCCCACCCCTCCTTCCCAATATGCCGCGAATCTGCACTGGAAAGAGGACGATCCTTTGAGGAGAGGGTACTTTGGAAAACTGAGGGGGTGTTGACATCCTTCTCTCCCTGTGTTCCAGCCATCACTCAGACCATAAAGTGCTCCCACGAGCGGTCGGTGCATCTCTTCATCGACTCCTTGCTGCACCCCAGCCAGCAGAGCACGGCCTACCAGTGCGGCGACATGGACAGGTTCAGCCAGGGCCTGTGCCTGAGCTGCCGGAGGGACCGCTGCAGCTCGCTGGGCTACCACGTCCGCCCGCAGCGGAAGGGCCAGAAGAACAAGAGGCTCTTCCTGGCCACGCGCGCCCAGTCCCCCTTCAAAGGTGAGTGTGGGTGGCCAAAGGCTCGCTCTGCTTTCAGTGTTCCTCAAACCACAGATTCCAGACGGCGATGTCCACACAGCCTCTCTCTCTCTCTCTCTCTCTGTTCCCAAGAGTGTGTCCACCTGGCCACCAAGTGCCAGGAGGAGAAACCTTGATACGTTCTGAAACGATTATTGGGTGAGCCTCTTTTCATCCACTTTCATGGTCCCCTAGGATGTTAGATCTTGAAGGCCCTGAGCAGTTCCGTCGACCACCCAGGTGTCATTGTGCAGGGACCTGGAGGCGTCTTTAAACCCCAACTGGAACCCAGTGCTTTCCAGCTCTGCTCACAGCTTCCATGAGAAAAGGAGGCTCCGGGCTATGTTTGTGGCTCCTCTTTTCCTCTAAAGTTGGCATCCGCTGATCTTCCAGGGTATCACTGTCTTATTGAGACCCTCCAAAGATGAAGTTTGGCTTCCAGCTTTCCTCATCAGATCCTTAACCCCAGGACAGAAACCGAGCCCCGGTCCTTCCCTGGATTGAAGCAGAGGTCGGAGCTGCGCCTCTCTGGGGGCTGAAGCCAGCAGAGAAAGGCTCCACCGAAGCCCAACTCCTCCAGGAGTGAACAAGCTGACATCTGCCACTATTAACATTTCTGTCTCATCCTTTCGACAGCTCCTGAGTGATTTAGCGTCTTACTGTCTCACTGCACATGCTCACGGCGCCCAGAGGACCTGGGCGCTGCGCTGTTTGATTATCACCGCCCAGAATATTTGGGGAGGCAGAAGGTGAACATGTCATCACCACCACTTTGCATTTGCACAGCCTTTTATACAAAACATCAGATGCAGCCATCACCTCTTTGTGGAACCCACAACAGCCAAGCAAGGTCGGTAGGGTGGGTAAGGATCTCATTTTCAAGAGGAGGGAAGCGCAGCTTGCAGGGAGTGACCTGCCCACGGCCACACAGCCTGGAAGGAGGCCAACAACCAGGTGCATCCGACTCCCGGTCTGTGTTCCTTTTTTTATCACACTCACAAGTTCAAGTTCCCAGGCGACTTATTTTTTAAGCACAGGATTCCTGTTTATCTGAACTTGTGCTCTCCAGCCAGATTTCCCTTCCGTGAAGCCCAGGAATGACAGAAATCCGCTGCCGGCAGCTGGTAGCTTCAGAGAGCACCACAGTGAAGGCGGATCCTTCCTGCCTGAGGGGCCAGCCAGTCCCTTCTGCTGACTGCCCCTTGGGGTGGAGGAGAAGGTACCATCCGAAATCAGCCGAGGGAATTTGGAAGGGCTCCTGCCTCAGGGAGCTCCCCCAAGGCAGGCTGCCAATTAGACACTCATTTGGGTTAACCGGCTCCTCTTTTAAATGGAAAAGCTGCCTGGAGTGATTAAGCCCCTCCGATAAGCACATTTCACTGGATCTACTGTAAATCATGGGATGTTAGCATTTCTAGAGGCTGTTCTACCCCGCCATTTCACAGCCGCAGACAACCAGGCTCAGCTGGGGAAAATCATCGGCCCAGGGACGCAGAGTGAATTCTCGGCAGAGTCAGCATTTAGACCCGGACCTCCAAACAACTAGTTGAGGGATTTTTATTTTTTTATTCTTTCCTCAGGAACCTACCCCTTGTCTGTTTGTGGAGGTGAGGGAGGGAGGAGAGAAGAAGGGGAAGGTTTTGCTTTCTCCTTGAGATCAGCAGGGAAGAAAGGAAACTACTTTTCACCTTCCACAGCTTGGGGGTGTCCTGAAGTGAGGAGGTTGGTCCAGCTGGAGGACATCTACCTGGGGGCTTGGAGATGGGGGCGGGGGGGAAGGCAAGCATGTAGAGAAGAAAGAGGGGAAAGGAAGACCAATAGGCACAACCAGGCTGAATTCCTCCCTTTAGCCAAGGACCAGCACATGCTGCTGGCGTGAACTCCCAGGGGTCCCTTTCCTATGAAGGAGGACCGGAGCACTGCATTCAGGCAGCACCACCCCACCCCAGCAGCTACCAAAACCATTGTGTTCATCCATACGTTTATTCTTCAAACGTAAATTGAACCAGAGTAGTCAGAGTCCCTAACTCATGGGGTTCACTGGAGACCAGCCCCCTCCCATATGTACGCTCAGTGCCATCCCAGGAAGACAGGCAGGGGGTCCCTTGGAGACAACACTCGGGTGTCTTTATTGCCAAGGACTCATCTTGCTCCAGACTCTTCCGACGAGAGTGGGACCACCGAGGCCAGTGATATGGAGGCTATCCAGGCAGTCAGGACTGCCTGAAACTGTCCGAACCCATCTCAGCCCCTAACAGAAGCCCCTTGCTGAGCTGTGGCCTGCACTGTACCCTCCCCTTCTCCGCGTGTTCCAAATTCTCCTCCGTTCTGCTTCAGTCCTTCCAGGGAGCAAAATCCTAATCTGTTCACTCGTGGGGAGTAGCATCCCTGGAGTCACGCCAAGCTGCCTTGGGTATGGGTGGGAATTATCCCCAGGTGAGACTCCGCCTGTTCTGGAGCAGCTTCTAATCTGCAAAATGCTGCGTCACCTGGTATGGTAGCTATGGCTAGTTAAGTTACTTAGAATTAAACGCAACCAAACATTTGATTCCCCAGTCACTCTAGCCACCTTTCAAGTGCTCAGATACCGGGCTGCCATATTGGAGAGCCAGAAATGGATCGCTTCCATCATCACAGAAATTTCTGTTGAGGATACTGGCACAAGGCCTTTAATCTAGGTCCCATAACTACACGTTTCTCCACCCATCATGGTCATGATCATCTCTGACTGGGGCCCTCCAAGCCTATTTAGCTGGCATTTGGTGAATACTTGCAGATTCTTAAAAGAAGAGACTTGCCCAGCCCTGGTTACAGAGAACCCATAATTCATATTTTTCAAGAACATCTAATTGTATGATATATTTTAGTGCAGGATCTGGCTGGGCAAAATAAACATGGCCTCCTGATTGTAGCTTCACAAAGGGTGACTAACTTAGCCTTTTATTCCTCTGGCTCCTAAGATACTTCAACGAAACCATCAAAGGGTCTGTTTTCTATGACCAGAACCCAGTTCCCATGGGGAGAGTCCCACAAGGCAGTTATTACTCACTTCTATTTTCACTCTCCCAGTAAGAGCCCTCGCCAGTCTGGGAGCCTGTTTTGTAAAAGAGAAGAGAGGGAGCATATCCATCCTGAGGGAGTCCTGCTTAGCAAACGCCTTATCTAATTAATCCTCTAGCGGTGGGACGAGGCCACTGGGAGTGGAGGAAAGTGGCACTTATGGGGGCCTCTTCTGTCCAGGCTCCACACTAGGTATGTTGTACAAACTAGCTCCTTTATCATATAATCCTCACAACAACCCAGAGGGACAGAGACTGAGATGGGTGGGGGTGGGGACTGATGATGGTGGACTTTCCAATAAATAAATTGAGACTCATAGAGTTTACGACTTCCCCAAGTCACACAGTCTGTGAGTAGCAAATGTAGCATTTGACCCCAGGTTGCTCTGATTCACGGCCCTTGCTCTTCCACTCCACACGGTCTCCCGAGTGTAATACCAATGCCGGGTCCTCCCCGCCTCTCTCCCTCTCCCCCGCCCTCTGCATTCTGGGCCTCATCCCACCTAAGGGAACTTGCTTGAGTACTCTTTCCTTCTGGTTGGTGAGACAACCAACCGAACTCTGACTTGGGGGAATCTGTTTGTCTTTTTGGCTTTTCTCTGCTACTTCTTTTGGAAGGTTTTCACTAATTTCCAGGGAGAGGTCCAGAAAAAGTCCTAAGTGTCATAGAGACAGTGCAGGCTTGAGATTGGGAATAGAGCATGTCTAGAATTTGGCTTTGCTGCCAACCTCATATATGTGACCTTGACCTAGTTTTGTCAAACCCATGCAGGTCTCAGGTTCTTCAGCCACAGAGTGATTGTGTGTGGATGAGCATGGGGGTGAGCCACTAAAACTGGCACCTGTGGGTGCAGCTCAGAACAGTGCCTGGTCAGTTCAGCACATAGGAAGGGAATAGGTGTCACTGGGGTAACACCTTCTAGAAGCTGGGCACTTTTGTATATGCCATCCCTTCGCATCACATCCTCACACCCTGTTAGAGTGGTCTTGATGGCCATTTTACACATGAGGAAATTGAGCTTCAGAGAGGCTATGAGTGCTCACAACCACTCAGTGGTAGGTGGCAGAGAAAGGACTCGAGGCCCTCAGCTGAGGGCTCTTACTGCCCTCCCACATGAAGCTCCTATGGGCACAAACAGTGGGCAGCAGGCAGCAGGATGCCAGTCAGTACAACACTCCTTACCACACACACACACACACACACACTCCCCCAATCCCACCCCTAGCAGAAGAGGCAACTGCCCACAGAAGGGGCAAGCATCCAATCCCATGACATCAGGGTGTAGGGGAGGAAAATTTTTCCTCTACTCTTTTTATTCTTTGGCTGGCCTATTAATTAAGTTGACACAAAACAGATTAAGAGGAGAAAATGTTAATTTCATGTGTACTAGAGCCTCACAGAGCCACGAGTGGTTCAAAGAAGTTAGGCAGTTGATGCCTGTCTGCCATCCTGAGCTAAAGGGAAGGGGGTGGGGCTGTGGGGCTTCAAAGAGAAGGAAGTTAATTCACAGGAAGATGGGAAGAGCAAATGTTTGGGAAACGAATGTTTGTCACACCATGCAGAGACAATGGGACACAGAGTGGAATCAACAAACAGGCCTGGAGCATCCCCCACACACACCCCTCATCACCCACACTGCAGCTCTCTGTGGTGGGTTCTCTCTTTCTGGACTAGGCCCCCCAACTAAATTCTTAGAGGCAGATAAGCAGGAGGCAAAAAGCTCTTCCTGAGTGTTTTGGGTCTTGATTGTCTTCCACTTAAAATACCCCACATGCCAAAGTGGCACATTTGGGAGAGGCTCATTCTGAAGCACTTTAGGGGTGTCGCGGGGTGCCTTGAAGCCCAAATGTGGCCACCAACATGAGCCCAGAGCTCCACAATGCACCTGCTTCCAAAACCACCTGCACCCGCCCTACCTTCCT